AAGGATAGCAGCTCATATCTCCCAGAGATCCTAACGGTCTTGGCAGGTTTAGAACTATATATATATATATATATGATATTGATATGTCTATTTTTTTAGAGGAGTATCAGCATTCTGCACTTTTTATTTTTATTTAAATGACTGGAGCCCTGGTTTATTAATTGTAATATGAATAAATAATAAAGGAAGTTGGAATGGATCGATTGATGAGATGGTTGCCTCTTTTGTTTCTTTGTCTCTAAAGCTGCCTCTAAGATTGTGATTCCTGGGTGGAAGTTACTGCTTTTGAGGGATGGTTAAATCCTTATAATAATTTTTAGAGAGCCCTTGTAGTGTAGTGGTTTGAGTGTTGGACTAGGATTCTGGGAGACTTGGGTTTGAATCCTTGCTCAGCTATGGAAATCCAGTGGGTGACCTTAGCTAGTTCACACTCTCTCAGCTTCAGAAGAGAGGAATGGCAAACTCCCTCTGAACAAGTCTTGCTAAGAAAACCAGATGAGAGGGTTGGTCTAAGTCAGAGTTGACCTCAACAATACCTCTTGAATAATTTTATTCTTTTTTGGGTGCAATTTCCCATTTTGGAGGACAGTGTGGAAGAGGGCAGAGGAGAAAGATTGTGGCCACCAAGGTCCAGGCATATAAGATTCCTTAGTGCGTGTAAAAGATACATTTGCTTAACCTGAGGTGCAACATTCCCAGCTTGATATGATAGCAAAACCTGAGGTGTGAGATCATTTTTCCCTTTCAAAACAAAGTAAATGCAGCTGGCCCTCCACATTTGTGGATTTGACTATTCATGGATTTGACTCATATATTCTCTCTAGGAATCTTTGTCAACTTCTGCCAAAAGTCACACTGGAGGACCTAGAGATCCCTTCGTTAGACATTTGTAGATCCTTCAGAGCAATTTCGTGGTCAACGTCTGGAAGATCTTGATCACAGAATTGCCTTGGAAGACCTAGAGATTCCTAGATAGTTATTCTCTTAGGTAAGAAAAATAGTGGGTTTTTTATTTGCGTTTTTTCCACTTTCGCGAGGGTCCTATGCCCCTAACCTCAGTGAATGTGGAAGGTCCACTGTCCATGAATTGTATAGCTTTTAAAAGCCTTTTGCTTGCAATCTAGCAAGCAGTATCTGAAAAACACACATTTGCAATAGGCTGGGAAGCCTGAGGTCCCAAATAAATCTTGTATGTATGAACTGATGATAAGTTCAAAACATAAGAAGAGCCATGCTGAATCAGGCCAGCTGCCTGCTTGGTTCAGTATCCAATTCCTGTAGTGGGCAACCAGATTCGACAATGGGAAGCCCAGAAGCAGGATATGAAAGCCACAATGCCCACATGTTCCCCAACAACTGGCATGAAGAGGCATATGGCCTTTGATCTGGATGTGAGTCCTGGCATAGTGGCTTGAGCATTGGACTATGACTGGAGGCCAGAGTTCGAATCCTGGCTCAGCCTTGGAAACCCACTGACCCAAGTCACACTCTCAGCCTCCAAGAATTCAAGAGGACATCCCTTCAAATATTTAATTAATGATTTTTTAAATTTTATTAATGTTTGGGGTTTTTCATTGTTTATTTCCTCCATTTTTCTCAAATGCCCTACATTTGTCTTACGTTTTGTCCTACATTTTCCTGGTTTTGTGGTAGAGAATTATGGCATCCCTAGCTATAATCATAAACATAGATGATGATGACGATGATGATGATGATTCCAGTAACAACAAAAATCCAAACAGTGATACCTTTTTTGGGTCAACCAAAATGGACAAAATAATAATAATAATAATAATAATAATAATAATAATAATAATAATAATAATACATTTTATTTATAGTCCATCTCTCCCTGCAGATAAATAAGAATAACAATAAAATACAATATACAATTAAAAATCACATTTCTAAATAATCCCCTACCCTCCCAATCATAAAAAAGAATAACAATATAAAATGAATAGCAATTTAAAATACTAATTAAAAGTGGAAGAAATAACAAACTTGTATTGTTATTTTTATAAGGACATTCACTATCAGCTGATCACCCCTCTTCTAACCAAATTTCCTGGACATACTGATGTTTTTTATGTAAACTATTTGCTGGACAGTCAAAATCAAATCAATATACTTAAGGTAGCAAAATCTTGTTGCATTATATATAAAACACGCTCTCGGATTATTGGTAACAACTGATGCTAGGTGCTAGATGGTAGAGATCAACTCTGATTTCCCTTGCTTCTGTACCTGATCGCTTAACGATTGTACATTATTATTCATTATTCTTATTTATTTATTTTTTAATATATTTTATATTATATTATTTTATACTGGTCCATGGCTGAAATAAAAACTGTTGTTGTTGTTGAAACAAATTAGCTAAAATTAGAGGTAGTTGGAGGAGAGACATTTATCTTTCTTGGGGTAGACGGAAGATATATATACATGCTGCAAGCTTTCGAAGCTTCACTGGCTTCATCAGGTCTCGGCTGGGCCAAGGGGGGGGAGTGGCGGTGGGCGCATGTGTGCACCCCCCGCCGTGCACAACCCCTGCCGCTGCGCCCGACACCCCTGCGCATGCGGCCGCTACTGCGGCCGCTGCCGTAGCAAGTGCGGCCACTGCCGCCACGGCACATGTCTCAGCCGTCATTTTGGTAGTCCAAATCGCAGCCGCGACACGTTTGCGCATGCGCAAGAGTAGTGCGCATGCGCAAACGCATCATGGCTACCATTTTGACTTCCAAAATGGTGGCCACAGCGATCACAGCCAAAAACGCCCCCCAACGGCGGCACGCGGCGACGGCGGCAACCTTCGGCCTGGGCTGGTAAGTCCGGGGCCCGGGGCCTTAACCGGCCCCCGGGCTGTAGGTTGCCGGTCCCTGGTGTAAGTATTATTATTATTATTATTATTATTATTATTATTATTATTATTATTATTATTATTATTATTATTATTATTATTATTATTATTATTATTATTATTATTATTAATAAGCATCCTAACCAAGGAAGTACTGCCCAGGTGACGCTAGGTGGCGCTAAGACCAATATACTTCTATAGAAGGGAGAATATCTTGCTTAGAATTCAAAATAAAACAACAACAACAACAACAACAACAACAACAACAACAACAACAATAATAATAATCCTAACCAAGGAAGTACTTCCCAGGTGACACTAGGTGGCACTAAGACCAATACACTTCTATAGAAGGGAGAATATCTTGCTTAGAATTCAAAATAATAATAATAATAATAATAATAATAATCCTAACCAAGGAAGTACTGCTCAGGTGACACTAGGTGGCGCTAAGACCAATACACTTCTATAGGAGGGAGAATATCTTGTTTAGTATTCATCATCATCATCATCATCATCATCATAATCTTAACCAAGGAAGTACTGCTCAGGTGACACTAGGTGGCGCTAAGACTAATACACTTCTATAGAAGGGAGAATATTTTACTTAGGATTCAACGTGGCACAAGATCATTTAGATTGGTAGAGATTTTCCTGCAAAACTTTTTGGGCTATCTGGCTCGTTGGTCTAGGGGTATGATTCTCGCTTAGGGTGCGAGAGGTCCCGGGTTCAAATCCCGGACGAGCCCTGTTTTTTAAAAAAATTATTGCACTTTTTTTAAAAAAAGCTGATCAATTTTTTTTTTCTGCTTGAAAACTTCAGAGATTTCATGAACACCTTTGCAAAATGATCAAAATCCCAGAAGACTCTTTAGTTCTTTTCATGCAATGGCCCCTGATCTTGCATTCCCCTCTTTCTTCTCTTTGGTATATTTCCTTCATTTTCTTTTGTCCTTGAAATGGGACTCTTTCCAAGTAACTTTTACAAATAATAAAAACAAAGAGTTAAGAAAGCAACATGTTTCCTATTTTGAATGGTTTATGCAATCCTATAAACCTTTGCTTTTAAGTCTTTATGGGAGATGACTTTAGAGTAAACATGTTTCCCAAAATGTCAGATTTGGATGCTTTGGTTTTAGTGGCTTTTGCAAATCTACAATTGAATTGTCTCCTATGCTTAGCTTGGAAAAAGGAAGGCTGATGTCATATAGAAGATGGAGCAAGCTTGTTTTCTGCTGTTCCAGAGACTCATGGACAGGGTGACCAGATGTCCTCCTTTTCCAGGACATGTCCTCCATTTCAGCCTTCCAAAATGTCCTTCATTTTGGGCAGGACTAAGAAGCATAACTTTAAAATATCTCTGAGTGTCTTTTTAGCTTTTATTTTGGTCATGCCCTACATTTTCCTTTGTAGGTCAATATCCTACATTTTGTGGTGCCTTTACAAGATGACTTAAATGTCCTCCTTTTCCAGGACACACCCTACATTTCAACTTTCTGTCCAGGAGGAATTCTAAAATGTCCTCCATTTTGAGCATGACTTAATATTTCTGTGTTTTTTAAGCTTTATACATTTTTCTTGATTGTCCTACATTTTATGGTGGCTTGTCCTCCTTTGCAAGGTAACCAAATGTCCTCCTTTTCCAGGACACAACATACATTTCAATTTTCTGCCCAGGAGGGTGGCGGAGATAGTGGCACTTTTGCTTTCGGATGGTTCAATATATAAAACTTTGTTTCATGCACAAAATTACTACAAATAGTGGATAAAGTGTAAGCCGCCTCGATTGTTCGACAGAGGGATGGGGTATAAATAATAATAATAATAATAATAATAATAATAATTGTTGCTGTTGTTGTTGTTGTTATTATGTTACCTTCAGGCTATATGTATAAGGTGTATATGAAACATGTATGAATTTTGTGTTTAATTTGAGTCCCATTTCCACAATATCTCATTGTGTACACATATGCAAATATGTTGTTGTTGTGGTGGTGTGCCTTCGTGTCATTTCCGACTTATGGTGACCCTAAGGCCACCCTACCGCAGGATTTTCTTCACAAATTTCGTTCAGAGGGGGTTTGCCATTGCCGTCCTCTGAGGCTGAGAGAGTGTGACTTGTTCAAGGTCACCCATGGGTTTACATAGTCGAGCCGGGATTCGAACCCTGTTCTCCAGAGTCCTGGCCCAGCGTTCAAACCACTACACTACGATGCAAATATAGGTATTCCAAAAATAATATTAAAAACCCCAAATCCCAAACCCCTCTGGCCCCAAGCATTACAGATAAGGGAGATTCAACCTGGAGAGCTGTTGTAGATTAAGGCCAAGTCTTTGTATTTGTTTCAACTACTGTATCTGTGTCACTTTTAAGAAGCACTGCTGAATTCAATTACGTGCTTTAAACAAAACAAACAAAAAAGGTGCTGTTATTGCAACTGAGAAATGTATTCTCAGATTCACATTTCCGCCTTCCTCTCTTCTGCGATCCCAACAAAAGGCAATTAGACTGTACAACCCAAGAGAACTTGAAGCTTAAAGAAAGCTTTGAAACCACAGGTCTTTAGGGACAAATTAACACACATCATCCAGTCCCAGACACTTCATATCTAGGTAACAAAAGAAAGCAGGAATAGCTACAATTAAAGCGCAGTCTGAAGCCGCTTTCCTTCCCTGGGGGATCGTGGGAACTACAGATCTCTGAAAAAATTATGACTCTCTGGTTTTCTAGCAGAGATCTCAGCATCACTGCGAAACTAAAGATATTCCCTGGATTCTTTGAGAAAAGCCTATGATGACTCTATGACCAGAGCAGCTCATTCACACTACAAAGTTATAGTGGTTTGATTCCACTTTAACCGTCATGGTTCCGTCCTATGAAATCCTGAGATTTGTAGTCTAGTGGGACACTACAGTCCTCTGGCTGAGAATTCCAAATTTGCTGTTGCTGTTGTGTGCCTTCAAGTCCTTTCCGACTTATGGTCACCCTAAGATGGCTTGAACCTATATCCCCGGGTTTTCTTGGCAAGATTTGTTCAGAGGAGGTTTGCCACTGCCTTGCCCTGAGGCTGAGAGTGTGTAGCTTGCCCAAGATTCCCCCAGTGGGTTTCACGGCTGAGCTGGGAATCGAACCCTGGTCTCCAGGGTCTTGAACCGACACTCAAACCCCTATGCCACAGACTTGACATATAAAACTTCAGAAGCTGGTTGAGCATAGTAGGTAGTTGAAATATTGAGGCAATTATTAGAAAGTAGTAAATTACTGAGGACCTCTTGATTTAATATTCTTTGTGTGTGGGTGCGTATATTGTTGTTATTGTGTGCTTTCAAATCGTTTCCAACCTATGGCAGCCCTAAGTAGGTTTTTTGGCCAAGTGGGGATTCGAACCTTCATCTCCAGAGTCATAGTCCAACATTCAAACCACTATGCCACACCATGCGTGGTTTAATCATCTTTTTGCATTTTTTTTCTTATTGATAGGTGCATCTACATTGTACAAATAGTGCAGTTTGACAGCACTTTAATGGCCATGGCTCCATCCTCCATCCTGGGATTTGTAGCCTCTCTGATTTCCTTTGACTAAACATGGGATTTTTCTTGCTGCTTCTTTTATAGTTTGGCAGCTGCTTTGGAGAGAGCCAGCAAGCTAAAGTGGTTGGAAAGCTGGACTATGACTCTAGAGATCGGGGTCTGATTCCCTACTCAAGCACAAAAAAACCCACTGGGTGACCTTGGGCAAGTCACACTCTCTCAGCTTCAGAGGATGGCACTGGCAACCTCTGTCTGCAGAAACTTGCCAAGAAAACCCTATGATAGTTTCTCCTTAGGGTTGACATAAATAAATAAAAAATGACTTAGAAGCACACAGCAACAATGGCTACTTTGGAAATCACTGTTCATGGGCAAAAGCATCTTGTAGGTATTTTAACAGTAAAACAAAAGCTTGAGGACTTTTGACTCCAGTTTTGAATCAGGCCCCTGCAGCTGTTCCTTTGAAAGAGTCACAGCCTCTGGCAGATGGTAGCAGATGGTTATAATGATTCCCTCTGGGCTTTTAGAGGATTCATTTGCAGATTATTTTTTTTGTATCCCAAACTCCTTCTAAAGAAAAAAGAGAATGCAAGGTCCTCTCTTTTTCTTTGCTGTCCTTGCTAGAGCAAGACTATAACATTCTCTTTCTAGCAAGGTGAGCTAGTTGCAAAATTGGGTGGAAGGAGAAGGCATTCAGATGGGAGTATTTGCTCAACATCAGATCTTTTCCAGGTTATGATATAGTAGGTTCCTTAAGAAAAACCAATAGTATTTTGATTTGGGTAAATCATAAATGAGATTGTCAGCTGCAACTAACTAGGAAAAAATAGCATAGCCTGTGTTCGGAGAGTTAGCTATGTCAGGAGGAATGAGAACCATGTTCTCTCCCAAGATGAATTTTGCTCCCCATGAAATTTTCTTTCAGTCCCCACATTTTTTAGCATTGCTGTCACTTAAAACTTCAGCTTTAGAAATAGATGTTAGGCATCCAAAGAAAAGGTCAGGCAAAGTAGCCGAGGGAATGCAAACGCAGCAATTGTAAGAATTCTCAATGTGAATTATTTCTGCAGTGGTAGAAATTTAGGATCTGCCTGAAGGACATTTTGTTGGCGAGGACAGAATTCTTGTTTTGGAAAGGCAATGATCTTGTTCTACACTTGACAATATAGAGCAGGAATTGGAGAAGTGTGGATCATCAGATCACGCTCGACTTCCAATTCCCAGAAGCCCTAGCCAGTTTAGGCAATGGTGAGGAAGGATGGGAGTTGCAGTCCAACAACATCTGAATGACTGCTTGTCCTGCTGTGACACGGAGGAAATCTAAGCCAAGGTTTCCGCAACCTAGGGATAGGAAAGCCTATTCCAAGTTGGAGTGCATCTACAGTGTAGAAATAATGCAGTTTGACACCACTTTAACTACCAGGGTCCGTTGTACAGAATCCTGGGATCTGGACTTTGGTGAGACACCAGCATGCTTAGGCAAAGAAGTTGAAAGACCTTGAAAAACTATAAATCCTAGGATTCCATAAGATGGAGCTACAACATTTAAAGTGGTGTGAAACAGCATTATTTCAATAGCATAGATGCTCCGTATGCATCTGCAGAGCATGCTATTGGTAAAGACAGAACCACAGAAGCCAGAAAGAAAAGTTGGCGTTTCTGCTCAGAAATCATTTGAACACAGGACTCCTTCTTCCTCTGTATTACTATTATGATTTTTATTTTCCCAGCCCGTATGTCATTCAAGAGTGGCTCGATAGTTGATCCCTGGTGGCTCGAGCATGTGATTAAAGCCTTAAAGAGAAAAAACTCTGCCCACTCCTCCTACAAATCTCCCCAGCGTTGCAAAGTTTTCAGATAAAACTTTGCAAGATTTAATGAGGTCCCTGGCCAGGCATGAAAGCACCTGCTCAGAGACAGGGAGGGACATAATGGGAGGCAGGCAAGTCCTGGGAGGATGATCTTCAGAAAAGTAGCTATTATCTTTCTCTGGCATCCTCAGAGATGGCATTAAAGCCAAGTGGCATCATCATTTCCATTGGGGATTTGGGTTGTTGATGGTGAGATGGTTAACTATACAAGGGGGACCCTTTGGGGCCTGGTTGTACAGAGGAGGAAAATAGCTCTACTATAAGAAAAAGCTGGGACTAGGGGCATCATTAGGAGGGTGCGGGAGGTGTAGTCCACACCAAGTGTCACCCTAAGAAGGGGTGACACCTCTGCTCCCCAAACATCTGCCTTTGGGTAGAAATGGGCTGGGTCCCTTTAAAACAACGGAGATGGTGTCAGTGGGAGGAGAAAAGTGAGGTACCAGGTTTTCAATTTTTTTTAAAAAAAAATAATTTTAAAATTTAAATTTTTTAAAATTTTTCATGTTATAAAATTCTTTTTAAATTTTCTTTAAAAACTTCACATCTTACCAATTCTTTGCTTTAATCACACACAGCTATGCATGTGCAAGCGCATTTAGGCTGTGCGTATGATAATTGCAATTTAAAAGTAAAAAAAAATTAATGTAGCGAGTTGTCAAGACTGTTGCCATTACAGGCAGTGATATCCAGGGATTACGATTTACAAGTAACATCAGTGCAACGACGACAACGGATTTTGGGTGGTGTGGTATGGGAGGAGGTAAATGGAGGGGTGACACTATGAGTTACGGGACTGGGTGATGATGCCAACCCAAGTGATGCCACTAGCTGGGATACAGTTAATGTTAAATTCAGAAATACCCCAATTAACAAAGTCTCCGGGGCAAATTGCGGGCATTGATCCCCCAATAAGAGTTTTGCCGTTGCAGTGAAATATTTCTTTTCTTTTTTTAAAAAAATCTTTATTCAAAACACAGTTCAAATAGATAAAGCTTCCATAAATTAACTACAATTGTCTATGAATTCAAAGATATAGCCGTGTTAGACTGTAGAATCAGTATGTAGAGAGAGCTTGCAGCACCTTTGAGACTAACTAAAGAAAGAAGTTGGCAGCATCTTTTAGACTAAAGTCTAGGAAAGCTCATGCTGCCAACTTCTTTCTTTCAGTGAGTCTCAAAGGTGCTACAAGATCCAAAATTCTTGAATTTTGGATAGAAGTTACAGAACAGATAAATACAATAATAGGGATAGAGATACAATTAAGCAAAGAAAATTGTTTAACTCTTAATTTAGGAGAATTAGGATTGAATAGTAGTCAAAGATATGTAATAAAACAAATTCTAAAAAGCTGCCCATGGAGTGATTGCTTTTGGATGGAAAAAGAAACCGTATTGGAATAAGTTTTATTTGTTTAATTATATAAAAGAATATATAATTTGATTTTCTTAGAGAAAGAAGACTTAAATATATTGGGGAAAGCAATAAAGAATCATGGAGAGATAAATGAGATATTGGGATTAAGAAAGTGGGAGGTTAAAGTGGGGTATGAAGAAGTAAAAAATAGAATTAATGATATTTTCCACATCTCTGAAAATGATTGTTAAATTTTGTTAATCAAATGATTGTTAATTTAAATGGAATGTATTTTCTCTAAATGCTTTTTGTGGGAGGGGGAAGAGAGGAGAAAAGCATACTATAAATGATGGATTGAATAATTTGTACTATGTACTGCTTTAATAAAAATTATATTAAAAATTTTTAAAAAGTTACACAGAAAAAAGGTGCTACAAGATCTCTCTACATACAATTGACCATATAATTACTACATAATTCATACCAATTACTTATCAGTATGTCATCTAAACCTCAATCATCTACAAATTATCTTTTATCTACTCTTTGATGGTGTGTAAAGAGTGGATAGGAGATAATTTGTAGATGATCATCTTTAATACTCTTTTTTCAATTTCTTCTATCACTTTGCATTCGGAAATCCTCTAATACCTTCTACCCTTCTATCCGTCTTACATGCTTCTCATCTATCCTTCTACCTTCCCTTTCCATCTTTCTCTTCTCCTCCTTCCTTCCTTCACTTTCTCACACCTTCCTTCACTTCCCAAAACTTCACTTGACAGTATCATTCATACCTTGACTTCTTTGGATTCTTCTTTAATTTGTCATGGCTTCCTATTCCACCGCTTTAATCAAAAATACTCAATATTCATATCTTTTATTTGTCCAAGTATTTTACACCAAGTGCTTCGTTTCTAATCGAGTTGATCATACCATACTACTGCTACCTATGTCGGGAAACTTATAGTTGCTATCGGACCCCATATTTTTCAGTGAAATATTTCTTCGGTCTCCACATTTCTAGCATTCTAGTAACTTAAAAAGCTTCAGTTGAGCATTTGGAAATGGAGGCTAGGCGTGTACAGAAAAAGGGATGCCAAAAATTATGAAAGGAAGATGTTAGGTGTCAATGATTTTGAAAGTTTCACTCTCTGTAATGCTAGAAATGGGAGGAGAGGGGACAGAATTATTGCTAGATTCTTGCTGGAGATCCATTGGAGGCCATGGCAAGACTGATGCGTGCTTCTTTCATTTAGTCAGAGATGGACGAACTTTGGCTCTGAAGATTTTGGAACTACAAATCTCCAAACCACTGAAGACTATGGTCTTCTAATTGCAATTGCAGCCTGAGACAATCGTATTTTATAGACAGATGCTTTACTCTGGTGCCACAACCAACTACAGTTCCCAGAATTCCACAGCATT